AAAAATGTTTGGTGTTTTTTTTTTTTTTTTAAACATTGCACACAGCCCTAATTTGATCTGATTTCTTCCTCTTTGTGTTTCTGTGTGCCCCCTCAGGCTGATGCTCCTAACACGGGGCTGATTCCAGAGAGTGATGCTGTAGGAGTGACTGTAGCCCTTATAACCTGCACCTACCGTGGACAGGAGTTCATCCGCATCGGCTACTATGTCAACAATGAATACACAGACCCTGAACTACGGGAAAACCCACCTCTCAAACCAGATTACACTCAGGTAACACACACGCACTCAGAGATGACCGTCATTAAGTTCTGTTATGATAGAAGTTTAAGGGACCAGCTCTCAACAATCTGTAATTAATGGACTGGATGACAGAACAGATCTGTCTTATTTTCATGTTTAAATTATGGTACCTTACTCTAATACCTGAGTGGCAGACAGCTTAAACACATGGTACAGTACATGGGCCACTCTTGTGAAAAAAGTCTGTTTAAATATACACTGTTTTCTACTGTCATCTGGTGCTCTGAAATGGAAGTTACAGGCAACAGTAGCATGAAGAAAGAAGCACAACAAACTTTATTCTAAAGGTGGTATCAAGTCATGCACTATGTAGGTGCATTTTCATCTAAGCAGTGGTATCAGCAAAATCTAAATGAGATATTAATCCATAATAAGGAGGCTGCTTAGTGAAATAGTGTAGAAAATGTTAATTTTGTACCTCACCTTATTCAGAGTCTTAATTGTTCAACAATAAATCACATTTTTCTAACTGTTGTTTCAATGAGCCAATGAGCTATAACTGTGAGAACACGAATTTGTGCGAAAGCTTTCAGCCAATGGGTAAAGATCCATAGCCAAGGCAAGGAATAAAAAAGACTAGTCTATCTCAACCACCCCTTTGGAGAGCATAAATGTTGTTTTCATTCTCTCAGCTCCAGAGGAATATTTTGGCCTCCAACCCCCGTGTCACCCGCTTCCATATCAACTGGGAGGGCTTGGCAGACAAGATGGAGGACAGCGAGAATGTTGACCCGTCCCCCAACATCAGCTGCATGCTCCCTCCGTCCTGCGCACCAGGAAAGATACCACCTATTGGACTGATGCCGGACAACTCAATGGACTGCTTGTAAGAATCATCAGATTAAGAAAATGGACAAAAAGCTCTTATCTATACACTCAACCACATCGCAGACACACGTTTGGACAAGGAGGCCACTGATGTATCTACATAACATGTAGACATTAACAGGAAGCAAGGACATTATTTTTATACAGAATACACATTTGGGATGGATCTGGAATTGTTGTTTCTTGTTCACACTCTATCAACTCATACACACAGATGTGCACAACAAACATTGCCTTATTTGACCATGAATCTGTCTTGGATGATGTTGAAACTGAGCCAGAGAAAGTTTAAGTCATCAGGGTGGGGCGATGTTAAGACAGGACCACCATATCCTCACAGCCCTGAGACTTGCAAGTCATACTCATACACTGATGTTGACCTGTTTGGTACCCATATTGTGCTGTTAATTTTGTCCTCTTGAGCACAGATCAAAGCTATGGGCCGTGCTCCGTATCTCCAGATAGATGTAGCACTAGCTGCTAATAGTAAAGCATTTCATTGTTCTGAAGGTTTGTCTCATCTGATGAGAATTAGTAGCATCTGGAGTACTTTTGGAAAAAATATGGTTCATGTTCAGGGGCCTGTTGCATGAAGTAGCTTTACTTGCTGATAGCTGGATAGCTTATGCAAAGCACAACCTTGTAGTTGCAAGTTTTACCCTAGAGTTATCCAGATAACTCAGTAAACCTGGTTCTTCAAACAGGCCCCAGTTCAGATATTAAT